GGAACATTAAAGAGCGGGTCAATTGAGCCTCGGAGTCCTTCTCCACCCACGTATCAATTTTGAAAAATGCAACATTAGTAGGCGTTGCCTGGAGGACCGAGAGGGCGGAGCCGCGGCAGTGACGAAGACGACGGCTAACTAGAAGATGCTAGCTCCCTTCACTCTATGCAGTTATTAGAAGTGGAGGATGTTTCTCCCCCTCCTTACCCAGACACTCGAGAAGAAAGGGACCAAGTCTATTTGGAGGAGACAAACGGACCTGAGCCTTATTGTTGTGAGCTTGTGAGTTGCCTGTAACTCCCAGAACCGACCCAACAGAACCACCTCTGAACGTAAGTAGCCGTTAGCCATAGCATTGGATTAGCTGCAGGGTTTGTCTCCACGGACCCCAAAGCTAGTATTCAGCATGTTTTAGAGGTTTATCTGCTTCAGCACACCTGGTTTTAATCAGCAACAAATAGCTGAGCTGCTTAACAGTTAATCTAACCTGTTAAAGCAGGAAAATCCACTGAAACATGCTGGATAGCAGCTCTCCGGTAGCTCTGGGCTCAAGTTACAGTCTGCTGCATAAAGTTATGAAAATGCCCCATGAGAAAATTATTCTGTTATGTGTTCAGCTCACTAAAACTGCCCTGGTTTATTTATTTACTGATAACAGCTGCTCTCTTGGTTCTAGGTCCTCTGGTGTCTGCAGCTGGTCTCTGGTGTCTGCAGGTGGTCTCCTCTGCTGGTGTCGTCAGGATCAGGAGCTTCCAGAAGAATGTGCCTTTCAATGACTCTTTCCCCCTTATTTGTTATATTAATTAAATAAATCTCAATTTATATATTTCCTGTTTTTGTTCATGTCCATAAATACTTAAACATGCTTGAAATTAAAACGAGCTTTTAACAGTGAGGTGCTAGTTTAATTCATCACAATAGAGCAAGTTAAACATGCATTGTGATAATTCAATTAATGTAATTTATAAATATCCATTAAAATATCAAAACTGGAATCTATGAGATATTTGGCAGCACAAAAAAACTTGTCAAACACAATATTTATTATAATAATTGTAGACAGACAGGAGACAGAGCTGATGGAGGTTCTCAGTCATCAAAGGATGGCTGAAGGCTTTCCAGGAACAGGAGATGTGGTGTTGTCTCTTCTCTCTCTATTCTGCCAGATGAGCTGATAGGTTACAGGTGTGTGAGGACATCCTCATGCTGTCATAAACAGATGACAGGAGTTATCAGGTGATCAGCCAGGCTAATGAGATGCAGAAAGAAAACAAATTCAGGACAGTGTACAATATGTGGTGTTGCTCACCTTATGTGCTCTTATAGAGTTATTAACGTGTGCCTGCCTCATGGTGTAGAGTCCATATTTTGCTGAGTGTCCTGCAATAATGCAGGTTATTAGTTAATTTACTTTTGATAGCAAAAACAAAACATTTAATGTAAAAGTTGTTTTCCAGGTGAATCAGCTCACACGTCACCACCAAGTGTCACGGGGGCAGAATCAGTAGCCTCCGTCATGATGTAATCACATACTTATTTAATTGTTAATATCTTAAAAATTCTGAAATGTTTTAATTTTTTTTTTACCTTGAACAGTTCACTGAGCTTGCACTGTCACTGAGGTGGAAGCTGGAATCAACAGCAGACACCTCACACCTTGGTCTTTTCAGGGGGTGTGGCCGCTGCTCTGGGACCTTCTGGAAGATGAATTTTCATCATGGTCCCCATGGGTCACCAGACACACTGCGGCTGTGAACTCCATTCTGGCTGGCTATGTAAAAACAAAGAAGCAGCACATTTATAAATGTTTAAAAGAGCATAAAATCACGTGTAACAATAATCTGTAAAATAAATTAAAACTAGAAGGTAATAATAAAATGTTTACATAGAAGATTATTAAAAATAATTCACCTTTGCTACAGGTAACGCTTCACGTCAGCCTGGACAAGTGCATTCTTGCAGCTAAATCAGTCTGACAGCCAGTGTCTTGGGTAGATTTAGCCTGAAAAAAATATATAAGCACATTGTTGTTGGGAGTTTATAAAGTCAGATAATATACAAAAGAAACTGTCCTATATAGGCGCTTTATAACATTCCTAGTGTGTGATCATTATAACGTAAAAGTCAGTCACATATGATGTGGAGAGCCTGAAATGTGACCTCCTGAACAGAATTCCTCACAGAACCTGTTCACAAGCTGGATTTCATGCTGTAATGCTGTCTGTCAAGTGCTGCGTCAGTTAGAGCCACTGTTGCGGAATTGCCGACTGACTAGCTAAAGGAAGTGAACCACGTCTCTCAGACTTTGCATTTAGGTAGGGAATTGTCTTTAGAAGATTTTAAAACGTTTATTTAGCTTACTCACCTCAGACTGGAGCCCGCCGTAGTGGGGGAGCAGAGTCGGTGGGCTGCATCTAAATCGCGGAAGAGCCATGGTGGGCAGCCTCCCTCTTCAAACGGTGGCGTGCAGAATCGCGGGTAAAATGCCCACAGAGTCACCGCAAGCATACTACACTACACCTACTCACCAATACTAAGACGATATGGAGCACTAAACCCGAAATACTTTCCCAATTACACTAACAGCCAAACACTAACTAAACTACAATATCCAACAGCCAAATCTAACACTAAATAAGTATTTATAACACTAAAAGATATGCTAAGACTAGGATATGCTAATGCTATATGCTAATGCTGAACTACCGCTGACCTCCTACACTCGCTTGCAAATCCAACTCCCACTCGCCACAGGGCGTGGCCGAGACGCTCGTTGCTTTTATAACTTTGGCACGGAGCTGCTACGTAGTACTCTACTGGTTTACGTAGTACTTTACTCTTTAGCCATTGGCTAAAATTTATTCAAAATGACTCAAATTCTATGTTTTCAGCTGAAGGTGGCGCATTACTGTGGTTTTTAGACAGAATTTTTAATTTTTAAAGAAAATGCACCAAAATGCTAAAATAAAGAATGCACACATTTAAAACACTATTAGACACTCATTTATACAGTTCATCAGCAAAAAAAAAGTTAATTTAGACGTTACTTGCTCTTTAAACTCCGCGAGCCTGGCGTCCGTCCATACCATCGGTCCATACGTACGATGATCCGCGCCGAGTATACATCCGCGCCAACCAGGTATCCATCCGCGCCATGTGAAAGTCATCATAGTTTACTTAGTATAGACCCAGATCCCAACCCAACTTTGAGAATAGATTAACGGCGTCATTTTTTTTATCGCGCGATAAGAGTCTGGCTTTGCCGCAGCGCATTAACGCCGATAACGGCCCACCCCTAATATATGTATATATATATGTGTGTATGTTTTATAGAGGCTCAGATCAGTTTTAGATTGCTGATTAACTGCATTGTAGGTCCCCTACAAAAGAAGTGTGTTAGCTGGGTGTAGTTTCCCCTCCTTGTCTCGTTGTAGATCGCCCCCTGGGGCTGAGGACTCACCTCCAGCAGTGGTGCCCCCAGAAACTTTCCACAGTGGCAGCCAGATGGAGCCAATGAAAACTTTGGGGTGGAACACCAAATTGGTTCCTGCTGGTCCCTTTCTGTCTCAACAGAAACATCCAATAAAGTACTTTTTCTTTCTAAATGATGAGCCTAGCTAAATAAGGCATAGGCGATAAGTTGAAAACGATCAAACACGACTGTCTCTGTCAGTGTCTCACTGAGAACTGAACATTTGATGAACTGTAGGAAAAAAGAACTCTATTCTGCTTTGATGTGATGACATCACAACACAGCATGATGACATCATAAAGAATCTGGGTATAGCAGGGCCATGTGTACACTTTTTGTTGCAGCCAGGTCCTTTTCTCAATACTCGAGGACGCTAATACGTTCTTGTGATTCTCAAATCCAGTCCTCGGGACCCCCTGCTATACATGGTTTCCATATTGCCCTCTCAGTCAGCACACACACTTGACTTCAATGAATGGGTGATTAACAAGCATCTGCAGCACTTGATCTCTTCCTTCATGTAAATGTGTTTAAAACCATAAAAGAATGAATACCTCATGTAATGTTTTATCTGTGTCACAATTTCAACCCCTCCTCTTTTATCCGGGCTTGGGACCGGCAGAAGTGACACAGAGAGGGGCACTCTGGCAGAGTTAGTTGTTTTTTTTTTTTGTTGTTTTTTTTTTCAGTTGGATAACATTTTATTCTCCATCTTTATTGAACTTAATTCAGTTAACTTATATATAACCAATTTGTAAAACAAATCCTCTCAAGGCACTTTAAAGTGCAAACACTACAGTTGAAGCAAATTAGTGAACAATTGATTGAGTTCATTATTCTGATTAGTTGAATGTCTCTATGTAAGGAAACCCAGATGATTGCTGTAAAGTCACTGACTAGTCGAGTCAGTGAATTTACAGCAAGCGTGTAGCAACAGTGGAGAGGAAAACTCCCCTTTAACAGGAAGAAACCTCCAGCAGAACCTGGCTCAGTATGAGTGGCCGTCTGCCACGACCCACTGGGGTGCTTACCTGGTTGAACATGTTAGGGTTGTAGGGTACGTCCTAAACACAAAAGCTGAGTTAATCTGAAAGAAACAATCAGCAGTTATGATGTTTCAGTTTTCTACCTTAAACATGTTACACCTGCTTTCTACACCTGAACCCCTAGACCCTTTTGTGGGAGGTTCGTGATGAAAAACAGCTTTCCTTTTGGCAGAAGACGATCCATTCTCAGGAACCAAAAATCAGCATTCCTTGTCTGGAGTTTCAGATCCCTCACCATCAAAGGAAACGATTCTCTTTGAGAAGTTGTCTATTTATACATTGTTAGGGTTGTTTGCGGAGAGTTTGCCTTCATCAGAAACCTTTTTGTGGGAGGTCCAGGGTCTGAAATGGCTTTCCGTTTGGTTGCTGAAACTAAACCACGATTCTCTGACAAATGTGGTTGTTCCATGCTAATATGAGTCTCTGAATCTTTAACCAGAGCTGGAGAATTGGGTCCAGAGCTTTGAAGACTAGTTTCTGTTTTACAAAAGCCAAGGGTGACACTGGAGCTCCTTTAAGGTGGGACGCCACCCTGGGCTCAAACAGAAACAGCTCTTTAGGAATCTCTTACAGTCTGTAGAGAGATCCGTCCTGATTCTGAGTTCGTTGTCGAGTAACTTTCTTGAGTCAAACAAACTTTCGTGGAGCATTTCATAGAGAACAACTCCCACCTGCCACACGGTTGCTGGTCCTGCCTCATAAATGCATTCAGAAATATACTCAGGAGGGGCGTGTTTCGCTGTGCCGTAGAACCAGCCGTCTTCATATTCTGTGTTGGTGAAACAACTCAGTCCAAAGTCAATCAGTCGCAGTCGCGGGATTTCTGATCCTGTTTCAATCAGAATATTTGTTGGTTTAATGTCTCTGTGGAAGATGTTGGTGTCCTCCAGATGTTTGACGGCATCAACCAGCTGTTTTATAATAGTTTTAGCCTGATTCTCCTGTAGGGGCTCTTTGTTATTTTCAATAAACTGTGAGAGGTCCACTGCAGGCACCGGTCTCTCCAACACTAGAATTTGTTCCTGGTCGAAGTCATACCAGTCCAGGAGGGAAATTGGGGCTGACTTCCCCACCGAATCAGCTGATTCTGTCTGGAGTTTTAGCATGGCGGCTACCTCAATGGTGAGCTGCTGGCCGTTCTCGTCCGTATCTGTCCAGACTACATTTTCCTTTGGTATATGTTTGATTGCCACAGGTAAATTGTCTGCCCTGCGGTAGCCACCATAAACAGATCCACAGCCGCCCTTTCCGAGCTGATCTTTTTGCTTGTATTTTGCCTCGAACTGATCTTTGGCTGAAAGCGAGGGACTCTCAGAATCAGACAGTCTGAGTCTCTTTGCTGGACTTCCAGATCCCTCACCATCTGGGGAGCGTGGCCTCTTTGAGACTCTGATTGTCTCATCCAGGTTATCTCTGGAGACACTGCCTTCATCTGAAACCCTAGACCGTTTTGTGGGAGGTTCGTGATGAAAAACAGCTTTCCTTTTGGCAGAGGACGATCCTTTCTCAGGAACCAAATATCTGCATTCCTTGTCTGGATTTTCAGATCCCTCACCATCAAAGGAAATGGATTTCTTTGTGAATTTGTCAATTCCTATAATGTTCTGGTTGTTTTCAGCGAGTCTGCCTTCATCAGAAACCTTAAACCTTTTTGTGGGAGGTCCAGGGTCTGAAACAGCTTTCCGTTTGGTTGCTGAAACTAAACCACGATTCTCTGACAAATGCGGTTGTTCCATGCTAATATAAGTCTCTGAATCTTTAACCAGAGCTGGAGAGTAGCTCTTGTGTGCAAAAGAATCTCCCATAATGCTAAATAACACGTAGACGATAAGTTGAAAAACTATCGAACAACGAGCAAACACGACTGTCTCTGACGGTGCGTCACTGAGAACTGAATGCTGATGATGGAATTGATGATGATGATGATGAAGATGATGATGTCATAAAGCAAAGTTCTAAAAGAGGAAAACTCAAGGGAAAGAGCAAAGATGAGGCTGATGCTGCTTTTTGGCGGCCCTTATTGCTCTCCACCCGAGGATTATATCCTTTTTTGTTTCTTCTGATCCGACCCAA